ACTAAATATGTGAAATGCGTCTTCGTTAACATACCAAACCTAAAACCATCGACACATTCTCAAACTAGATTATCTCCCATAACTTCGAGCAAAATTATAATCCACATCGTGACTTATAAGTAGATGTAAATCGAGAAATAAAAATATCTTACCAAATTCAAATCCCGGAAGTAGTTCAGCCATGATACACTGACGATACGTCTGTGTAACTAGGTGGGTAGTAGTGATAATATTTGAAATTTTATAAAAGGTATTCCTTTCAAATAGTGCACTCTGTGATGCTATATTGTTTTTTTATGTGAGGCGCATCCTATAACGTTTGATTAATCCAAGTTTTTATGTGCACGCGGTCCTAACTTCGACTGTTAATTTGAATTTTTGACCTACCGGATGTTTGAAAATCAAGGATTATGAGTCTCATACTGCACCGTTTTTCTTCAAACTTGTTCCATTCAAAGCATAACAAAAATCCCTTTCTGATGGTACATTATTCTCTTAATAAGAGACCCTACTTCCAGCGGCATTTTGGTCCCCAGCTGTAAGTAGGCCTTCCGACAGCTGGGGACCAAAACGCTGCGTGAACGAGGGACTCTTTACAATCAAGTAATGCACCGACAGAAAGGCAATTTTGTTTTGCTTTTAATGGTATAAGTTTGAAGAAAAACGGTGCAGTATGAGACTCGCAATCCTTGATTTTCAAGCACCTGGTAGGTCAAAAATTCAAATTAACGGTCGAAGTTAGTACCGCGTGATGTGGAATATTAGGTTTTTTGATTGCATTTTATACAGTACCTCATAATAAGCGAGGAATATACTATACTGAAGAAGTTGTCATATCAGTTACGATTTATATGTGAGGTATTCGTGTTTGTAAGTATATTCATGAGGCTATTATGTTTTTGATTTTTCATGTGAGATGTTACTTTTTTGCGAATGCATTATGTTAGGCAATATTACCTGTGATTTATAAACCAATTATTAGTTCGAAAGAGCTTTCATGAGAGGATTGGTTTATGCGAGTGAATCCAAATGCTATAGTCACTGATTTTTATTTGAGGTATTTTGTTTTGTTTAATGAACAGTGTTCCTTTTTGTAAAATAGTTTCTGGATTTTGCGACCGTTTAAGTTTATGTACTCGAGATGCTGAAGGATGTGGGGATTATTTTAGGCATTGTCAATTAAATTGCTAAAACTGAAGGCTTTAGGTTTGCAGTGGGATGCTGACCCTTTTAAACGTTAAACGAATTATAATATCTATCTCAAAGCATTAAGACCAAATTCTAAATATTGTATATCTAATATACTATTAGTATTGTTATGAGTATTGGCTCACAATTTGTATTTTTATTCAATTAGTGTTGTAATGACTGGAGTATAATGAGGTGCTACTTGGTGTAATGGTCTGGGAATGATGTTTATACTTAGCTCGTGGGTCGGGAGGGGTTGAAAGACGTTTGACTTTGGGATTGCTAGTGTTTCTTATGTCACCACCAAGAGTGGTATGACATATTGTTATAGTTTCCAACATAAAGTCCATTGACAGTACATATTCGGCGTTCGGTGTATGTAACGAATATGCGTTGGCATTTTGCATGTTAATGCTTTGATATTCCCTTATTTTAGTATACTCTTGAACACATTCCATTTGTTGCTGTACCTTTTCCATTTCCACTTGTGCGTTCATGTTTTGTTACTTCAGAATTCTGATTTTTTATTAATGTGTAACAAACAGTATAATATAACAACAATTATATTTGTCACTGCGATGCATTACATCGATTCATTTTTACATTATTGCAGACATTTCTCAAAGATCCATGTAGTCAAATGTTGAAGATATGGTCCTTATATAAGCAACCAATTCATGTTCAACCATATGCAACAATTTTCAATCGCAGACGGTATTAGACAAGGAAGAACAACGAGTCTCCCTTTATTGGCAATTGACCCCTGAATACGGCTGTCCATATCTCAAAATGTATTACAACTAATTTAGTAAAAAACTGACATATTATAACCATATGTTATTCACAGGTAATTAAGGTGCCAATATATTGATTGCTTCACCAATATCTCCAAAACGACAAAAAATGTTGAAACCTTGATTTTTTATATATAAGGTATTTCAAGGAACACATACCGCAAAATTATAGCCAAGACCCTTGATGTATATATTAAAAATATTTTCATGTGATTTTCTTTTAATGTTTGTACTTTAAATTATGAAAAAAATACGAAAAACGTTTTACACGTTTTTTGACCCCTGATAATGACATGCATTATTCGGCCTAAAAGCCCGCCGTATTTATCACGGCTATACAAAAATAAAACGCGGGACACATGTAGGTATCTAAATATAAGCTCAAATATCATTATGCATATATGGTGCCACCAACTCCTTACCCTACTATCACACCAAACTAGTTCTCACTACGTTCTCGAAAACTGGCTTCAACTGTGTACGAACGGACTGGACCTACTAAGAACCGTTTGGGATCTATTTACAAACTTCATCGAACGTACTCGAACGGGTAGATCCTCTTAAACTAGACAATGCTCAAAATGTTCTCGTGGTCGTCACGTTCTACAATTAGAACGAATGACAACGTACTAACGACGAGCTGGACGTACTACAAACGGAACCGTCGTACTTCAATCCTACTAGGGACGTTTTAACAACGAGTTGAGGACGTGTTGAGAACGAGGTAGAACAACGAGGTAGAACTAATTGCAAACGGGTTTAAACTGATTAAGAACGTATTTAACACTGCTTATGAACGAGTTAGCAAAAATATAGCTATCACATCAAACAAGTTGCCACTGCGTTCTTCAAAACTTGTTTTATACTGTGTGCGAACGGAATGAACGTAGCTGCAACTTTCTAAGGTCTATTTACGAACTTTTTGAACGTTCTCAGACGGGATTGTGATTTTAGAATTTTGAATCGATTCAAAATTCGATGGCGACCATACCGTTCTGTAATCAGGTCATGTTGACCTTCTAGACTAAGGGACGCGTTCTACTACGTTGCACACCGACGTGGTGCGACCTGAACGAACTGCAAACGAGATGGACGTATTGAAGACTGTTTAAGAACGAAGAAGCTAATTATTTCTGACATATTTCCCGACCACAGCCAGATTGAGCCCGTTTTACGACGTTTTCGTAGGACTGGCAAGAACGGGTAAGAACTAGTTTGGTGTGATAGGGGGGTTAATTAGACGTCCTAGAAATTTCATACCGTGGACTAGTTAGCTTGATAATACTATACGTTATAGGCTGATAATGGAGATTTTAAGCTAGGGATGTTTTTCACAACGTAAACGTAAACCATGAACGCAGTCAATTAATGGACCAATACAGCAATGTTTATAGCGCAAATACAAAACAAGCGCTATTTAGTCTACTTCAGATACCCGATCAGCTTCAGTTTCGTGTTTAGAACGGGAGATTTGCAATTTCACGTTGGTGTCAACGGGAATCATTTGTCTATTGAATTCTATGCTGGCAATTTATATTTCGATGCCAGATCACTGGCGGATTAGGGGGGGGGGCTGGGGGCCCGCCCCCCCCCCCTTGGGTGGGCCCAGAAAAAAAATTGGGGACTTGAAATTTGGCCCCCCCCCCCCTTGTTGATTCCCAGATCCGCCCCTGCAGATAATCCCGGAAGTATAATGCTTTCTGAAGATAATGATGTACGGATGTCATACATGTTTTAGCTCCAAATATCTTACGAAACGAGCTTAGAAAACCAGCTATATTACTACCAGTGGCATATTACACGATGATGTGTACACGTCCTTCACCATTTATAACACGCGGTACTAACTTCGACAGTTAATTTGAATTTTTGACCTACCAGATGTTTAGAAATCAAGGATTACGAGTCTCACACTGCACCGTATTTCTTCAAACTTGTTCCATTCAATTCTTAACAAAAATGCCTACTGCAGAGTCCCTACTTCCAGAGGCAAGGGCTTCTAACAGATGGGGACCAAAACGCTGCTAAAACGAGAGACTCTTTACAATAAAGCAATGCACCGGCAGAAAGGCAATTTTGTTTTGCTTTGAATGGAACAAGTTTGAAAAAATGATGCAGTATGAGACTAGTAATTCCTTCATTTTCAAACATCTGTAAGGTCAAAAATTCAAATTAACGACCGCGTGTAATTAGCAGTAAAAAATCATTTTGCTTCATCGGTGATAAAATGCGTCTAGTTTCTTGGTGAATGTCGAGTCTCGCATCATACGAATGTAATTTTAGGCGATCTGTCTGTATTGGGTGTATTTAACATTTTCGTAATACTCCTTTAGTTCAATACAATGAAATTGTAACATTTAAAATTTAAAAAAAAATTTCAACTTTTAAAATTTAAAACTTAATATCTTTAAAAATTTTAATTTTTTAATTTTTTAACTTTTGAAAAATTCCTGGGAGCGGGGGATGGATATATTATATCTGCCCGCATTCGGCCTGGAGCGGGACATATACAATATATCCTGCCCGCTCCTCAGATATGATACATATTCCCGGGTGATATCTACTCTAAATTAAACCCAATCAAGTATGAGATACATATATATGTCGGTCCCCTTGGGTGGGCCCAAATAAAATTGGGCCTTTTGGGCCCAAAGATTATGCAGGGCCTTAATTAGTGGGCCTTTTTAGGCACAGATGTTGGCCAGATCGTTTTGTAGTAGGATTTCATAGACTCAAAGAATATTAATTGAGCTACTGATTCTACTACAAAAGAATCTGGCCGGGATCTATGTTTTTAGGTATTAGGCCTACTTGGCATTTATTCGCCCAAAACTGTGAAAAAATGGCCTCAATTTTTTCCGCGCAAGCCCAGATTTGAAATTTGCCCCCCTCCCACGCCCCTTGTTAGCTTCTGGAGTCTGGATCCGCCAGTGGGGCCTGCTATAAAATTTTTAAATTGCCGCCAAATATTGGCCAATAGCATAGCGCGTAATAAAAAGGGGATTTTGAGTAATAAACCAATGACGTGCCATCTTTCAAAAACCTATGGCTTGAAAATTTTGGTAAATTCAAAACAAACGTGAAAATTGTTTTATCTAAACTTGAAATGCGACGTATTAACAATGAAAATGATTGCAATATTCGACGGAAAGATACACAAAGATACAAAGCTTCAATTGAAAGAGAATGTGAGAGAACTGTTACTAAATGAGTTAGCTTAGCAGGTAAATATTGTATTTCTTTTTATGAAAATACCTAAATTCAAAAATTGCAATTGGGCCATTCCATTTAAAAAATGTACGTGGGGTATGGATGCAAAATTCTGGGGGGGGGGGGTGTTGACCGAAAAATTCTGGGGGGGGTAGGAGACCAAAAAATTCTGGGGGGGGGTGTTGACCGAAAAATTCTGGGGGGGGGTAGGAGACCGAAAAAATTCTGGGGGGGGGGGTATTGACCATGGAATATTCTGGGGGGGGGGGTATTTGCAAAGGCATTATGAAGGGGGGGGGGGTTAATAATAGGGGGGTGGTGGTGGTAGTCTGTGGGGGAGTATTCTATAGGGGTATATGGGTGGAGTGTCTTTCAGTCTTTTAAAAGGCGGTAATAATTCAGTTAATGTACATGTATTTCTTGAGTATTTTGTGTATGGACTTGTCTGACACCAAATCTCGGTCATGTTTATTATTTCGAAATTTAATCCCAGCCAACAGAACAAAGTATGCTACAGCTAGCTGTATACAGGTTTTTCTGACTTTCATATTTGCAATGTATTTGTGATCCTATATAATGCTAAATGCTAAGATAAGGAAAACTTTGGTATGCTCTTGTTAAGGGTATAACTTTCTCTACAGTGTCATGGCTTTCATAGAACTCCTCTTCATTTCTGGAACAGTAAAACATGATTTCCCCAAAAACATGAAGAATCATTAAAATTAACAAATATGACATTTTTCTCTGAAACAGTTACTGCATATTATTTAAACATTTTTAAATTCAGACAATGAGAATTAGAATATCTTCATTCTCAAGTGAGATCAGTACATTTTCTAATTTATATCATACATCCTATATACTGGGGATCCACTTGATTACACTGGTTAGCGAAAAAGTTTGTCGGAACGTCGGAGCATGGGCTTTCAACTAGAGTTGAAAGCCCATGGTCGGAGGTACGATTTTTCTTTCCCTTATTTCACGCGTTGTAGGCAGATTCCCCACGACATTCTTTCTCACAAACGTGTATCAGTATCATATGTTTTTGAAAATGTACATGTTCGCGCCAATCAGTGTTCATTGGCCAAATTTGACCGACGTTCAATATATGGTCATTCCTTCTGACGTCATCGTTGAGCCCGGAATTGTGTAATTTATGTTGAAGAAATAATAAATAATGAAAAAATATTGTAGTTACCAATGGAGACATTACATTTTAATTTTGATTGTGTGAAGTGAACAATGGTAGCGAGTTCAACTAACTAATTATGAAATATTCAGTTTTTATTTTTGCTTTTCATAATCATTTAGTCTGTTGAGAAAGTACACAGGTCATCTGAATATATCAGGATAAAACTATTACAACCTCAATATAACAAATTAGTGAACTTGTCTAGAGATCAGGATACATTACACTAGTAGGCACATGACCTTACTCTGAATTGAGAGCTACAAGCAGTATATAGTACACTAGATCCAAACAAAAAACAGTGTATGTGACAGTGACCTACATGTAAACTGCAATGTTGGAACCAATATATAGGTTCCAATCTGGCAATTACTTCCTTGTTCTTTAGACTTTTAGACAATTTGGTCAAATTATGCAACATGTGTAGCCTTCAAATATAACTTTATTCAAGTAGATGAGAGTATCTAGAACACTTTTGTTATAAGTTCATAGTATTATTTTCTGTCACGTCTGTTCCACATTTTGGGCATCTAATTTTAGTCATAAACTATGTGGTCACTTGCTTTTCATGTGTTTTTGAAAATATAGGACAGTAGTTTGAAAAGTAAACCACTGAATATTCTAGTTATTCATACATTCTAAAGAATTGTGAACCGTTAATAGGTACACTAATTTCTGGTAGTCAAAATTACTTCACTCATTTTGTCTACATTATTGAGGAAGGTTACTTCAAACTACCAGCAATATTTTCAGACTAATTCAATCAGATTGTATCTTTGATACTATATACATACACTTTTTGTGCTAACTAGTACGTGAAAATATACTGTTAAGACTAGATGTCATCAAAACCACCATAGCTAAGGCAAAAAAAGTTGACCTAGAAATATCCTGTTACAGTAATATAAGCAATAATTCATTCTGAGCGTATGACTTACTGACATTCTGTTAAAGGCACGTGTATATGGAAATATTTTGAAAATTTCTGGTACAAAATATAGTATGAAGGCATGTGTTTTATTTCTTTGTTTTTTTTCAGGAAATTATCTTTGCATTGCCTTCTTTAAGTAACTGAGTAAGCCTGGTAATTGTCTTGTGCCAAGAAAATCTCAGGTTATGCAGACCGAATCCAAAGAACATTATGTTATTTATCAAAAGACATAAAAGTCGGTGCTAGCAGGCCCGTAGCCAGGATTTGCCAAGGGGGGGTTCAATTTTCAAAAATTTCCAGGGGGGGTTCACATTTGACAATTTTGGCCCAAATTTGGCTAAAATCACTTGAGAAGTGCTCAAAATGGTCAAAAACTGCATGATTTTGAAAGAATTTTTGGCCAGGGGGGGGGTTCGCCCGAACCCTGCGAACCCCCCCTGGCTACGGGCATGGCTAGCTATGTAATGTACATATTTCTTACTTCAATTTAATCTAAAGACCAGTCTAAGTGTTCTCTCAAAGCCCAAAAGTTGCGGCTGTCTCAAATCGCAGACTTTTTAAATCGACCAGTATTTCAAAAGACAGCTGTAGCTTTGAGAGAATGTTCAAGCTAGTGTATAGAATCAATTGAGTAGACTACATCCTCTAGCATTATTATTTGAAATTTAGTTGGAAATACTCAGACTGTAAACGGCCTATGTTAAATGTTGTTGTTCAAACATATCTCTTTAATGTAAATTATAATTCAAAGTGACTGATGTAGTAAATTAATTTGCATATTTAAATTATTTTTAAGTTCCACTACATGTAGCTTTATCTCTTAGACTAGACAATATGCTGTGTTACTTTTTATGTCATTTACCTTACTACCTAATTGAATTTTCATAATGTTTATTTTATTGAAGTAATGCTTCCTCTAATGAATTGATAATTTTGTGCAATACAATTCACCGCAATAACCACACGACAGAAAATAAGGATAACAAACTGAGTTCACACTCAGTCTGTTGGATACTTACCAATAATGAGGTAAGAAATATGTGCATAGCTGGTGCAGATATTTTTGGACTTGTGAAATATAACATGTGGTTCTATTGTATACACATCGATAACGTGGGTATTTCCATGAACATGTGCCTTTAACACTAATTTGTAAATTCTGCAAACTGATTGCCTATTTCAATGGTAGGAGCAACTTATAACCTTTATATTGTTTCTCAAGGGGGGATTTTGCGTGTTTTGGGGGGTATGGATGCAATTTTCCAGGGGAGAGGGGTATGGATGCAAATTTCTGGGGGGGGGGTATGGATGCAAATTTCCGGGGGGTGGTATGGATGCAATTTTCTGGGGGGGGGGTAGCAAGAAAAAAATTCTGGGGGGGGTGTCTTAGCCTGTGCATCCATACCCCCCCGTACATTTTTTAAATGGAATGGCCCATTCGAATGAGGCCTACAGTTCGAGCCGGGAGTTCGAGATTTGCTCATAAATTTTAAATCACTAGCTAAATAGCTTTATGCATTACGTAACTGAACACAGAGCCTATAGATTCCCTACACTGGCTACAGGTACATTTACAGGTGTGTAGCCAGCTTTCAGTTAGGGGGGTGCGATTGTCAAAATAATTTCGGTCTTCAGTCAGGGATTGTGGCATAAACAAGCCAAGAAAATAATTTTACAAAAACTGATGCAACTTCCTTCAAAACTGAGCTAGAAGCTTCATTTAAACGTCATTTTAAAGCTCTTATCTCATGGTTCTATTCTTCCGTATCTCAAAAAGTTGTGTTTTTTGTCTGTTTATCCTTGGGCTTTCAATCTAGTTGAAAGCCCATGGTTTATCATATTAGAATCGTAACAAAGACCTTGATTTTATGATTTATGTCATTGCCAAAGACCTCAATCGCTACACGATTTCGGTCTTTTAGCAATTAACAGAATGAAATTTTCTGTCATATATTACGCCATGAATCATAAAATCTTGGTCTTGATTCCTTAAATATAAGCCAATTGCTTTATATATATTTTCTGATTTCCAGATATGATTTGACAACTCAGTTCACGATGACACCCACACAAGTAAGTTGATCGGTTGCACAGATGGTTCTTATTGTTATAAGTACATAAAGAAGTAAGCAGAGACCTGGTTATTGGATATTTAAAGTTCATGAGATTGCGATTGGTACATTGTATTATAACCATATAAGGGGACAATAAACGTGACAGTATGTCAAAGTGTCTTTATGATTGCCTCCATGAGGCAAATCTTCAGTCATATTTTTCATCATTTACTTCAAAAGGCTTGAGCCATTCAGAACAACTAGCAGGGCTATCAATGCAAGATTACGTCTCATATGGAGTAACTAACATGGACGACAGGCTTAGATTGTTCAAAATAATTAAGATCATCAAATCTGTGAAACAATCAGGAAAAAAATGTAACCATAGCAACAGTAGTCCACATAAAGGAAATGAGAATAAAAATCAGATTAATCGTAACCATAGTTACCATAACAATGAAGATTCTAATGGTAAAATTTCTAGAAAAACATCTTATTTTCCCCAATCTGTACTTGCTGTGAATGGCTACATCAAACCATTAGATACTCAAGATATCCAGCATGAGAATACTCAGGGATTTAAACCTCCAAAGACTCTACATTTACCAACTGAGATAGTTGAACAGAAAACAGGGTATAACTATGGCGTCCCTAAATCTAAATCCAAATCGAAACCAACAAATGCAGCCTCACTGGATGGAATGGATAGAATCAAAGTGTGTGTCCGTACACGTCCCATGATGCAATGGGAGAGAGAGACAGGAACTAAAGATATAGTGGAGATACATGGTCGTGATGGAGTGGTTATTATGGAGCCAAAGGTTGCCTTGGATACATCACATTACACTCAACAGGTAGATTTTATAGACTATTAAAGGCCCTGTGCAAAGATTTAAAATATTATTTAATCATTCAATTTCTTTAAGGCTCCAATTTCTCTGTCTTGTTCACCCAAATCTCTTGTAATAGACCTTTCCAAAAAATGTGCCATCTTTGATTTCATTTAAAGAACCTGTGATATATTGGCTAGTTCGATGTTTGTAATGATCAGAATCTAAGGTAAATGTTACTTGCGTGTACAGTCTGTACTGTCTGTACACTACCCCTGTAATATTCTAACGAGTAATAAGGTTCTTCCTTTGGAGTCCAGTTTTATCATAATGTTGTCACTGTTTTTCTTATTTTGTCATAGGCAGAATACTATTTCGAAATCTCGAAACTAATAGATATCACCATTCAATCTATTTTTGGAACTAGGTTCTGTTTGTCGAATGTGTGTGGCCTCAAGTTAACAATTACGATATGTGCAATAATGTAGTTATTTCCTTTTCCTGGTTGACGTCAATGACAATGAAATAGCCACGTTACTAAGATAACTGTGCAGATGAAGTACTTTAGTTGATTGAAGTCACTGTGTTTTGTTTTTCAGCACACATTCAGGTTTGATGAGGCCTTTCATGAAGAACTCTCCAATGAAGATGTCTACAGAAAAACTATTGAACCACTTGTGGAGTTTGTCATGAAGGGGTAAGTGTTCAAACCACCAAATATGTACATGTTCACAGGGTTGAATCGAAAGATTTGTCAACACACAACTGTTTTGGGGATAAACTCTCTGATTCTTAAAATGAAATCTCACAATTTATTTTTTAGCTCAGTTGTTTCTTTATAACAAATAACCTACTCCATGCAATTGATATATCGTTTGGTGGCAAAATTAACTTTTTTGTCCAACAAGGCAAATAAGAAAAGTTATTGAAGCCTGTGCTAAAGCATCATGCTCCAACATGCTGGAGCATGATATTAACCAAGCAGTATCGAGAATTTTGCATAACATATTTTTAACCAAAAAGCTTCAACAAATAAACCAATCCCATGCAATGGCTACATCAATCATCAATCGTGCTTTTGCAGGAATTTAGTTGGATTGCACAAAGGCTTCAAATGGATACCTTGGATAGTCTAAATCAATTGATATATTTGTTACTGCACCTTGTTTCATTTAAGATGCTTACTGCGTTACTACAGAATGAATTACAAGTTATTATTTTCACAATTTTTTGATACTCAGTGTCAACTTCACATGTGACATATGTGAATTATATTTGAAGTCCTAAACAGCTTCGTATCAGAAATATCCAAAATTTAAATTCAAAAATGACCAGTGCCTCTACACTAAACACTCATTTCTGCCACACCAAATATTTCCCACGGGCTCAGTCTGCAAAGGGTGATGAAGGCTCCAAATAGATACCTTGGATATATTTGTAACTGCACCTCGTTTCATTTTGAGATTAATTTTGTAAAATGTCATAGTCAAATGCACTTGGAGAAGCCTATCATGTTTTGTTTTCGATTCAGAGGGAAGGCAACATATTTTGTTATTCATTTCAGAGGGAGGGGAACATTTTTGCAATTCATTTCAGAGAGAAGGCAACATGTTATGTTATTCATTTCAGAAGGCAACATGTTTTGTTATTCATTTCAGAAGGCAACATGTTTTGTTATTCATTTCAGAGGGAAGGCAACATATTTTGTTATTCATTTCAGAGGGAGGGGAACATGTTTTGCAATTCATTTCAGAGAGAAGGCAACATGTTATGTTATTCTTTTCAGAGGGAAGGCAACATGTTTTGTTATTCATTTCAGAGGGAAGGGAACATGTTTTGTTATTCATTTCAGAAGGCAACATGTTTTGTTATTCATTTCAGAAGGCAACATGTTTTGTTATTCATTTCAGAAGGCAACATGTTATGTTATTCATTTCAGAGGGAAGGCAACATGTTTTGTTATTCATTTAGAGGGAAGGGAACATGTTATGTTATTCATTTCAGAAGGCAACATGTTTTGTTATTCATTTCAGAGGGAAGGCAACATGTTATGTTATTCATTTCAGAAGGCAACATGTTTTTTATTCATTTCAGAGGGAAGGCAACATGTTAATGTTATGTTATTCATTTCAGAGGGAAGGGAACATGTTTTGTTATTCATCTCAGAGGGAAGGCAACATGTTTTGTTATTCATTTCAGAGGGAAGGCAACATGTTTTGTTATTCATTTCAGAGGGAAGGCAACACGTTATGTTATTCATTTCAGAAGGCAACATGTTTTGTTATTCATTTCAGAAGGCAACATGTTATGTTATTCATTTCAGAGGGAAGGCAACATGTTATGTTATTCATTACAGAAGGCAACATGTTATGTTATTCAATACAGAAGGCAACATGTTTTGTTATCCATTTCAGAGGGAAGGCAACATGTTTTGTTATTCATTTCAGAGGGAAGGGAACATGTTTTGTTATTCATTTCAGGAGGCAACATGTTATGTTATTCATTTCAGAAGGCAATATGTTTTGTTATTCATTCCAGAGGGAAGGCAACATGTTTTGCATATGGTCAGACAGGGGCTGGTAAATCATACACTATGATGGGCACTGACAACGCTCCAGGTTTATACATGTTAGGGGCCAGAGACATTGTAAACATGTTACAACCTGGCCACAAAATCTGGATAAGCTACTTTGAAATATATTGTGGTCAGCTGTTTGATTTGCTGAATAAAAGGAAAAGGTATGTCATCTTATATAAATATTATATTCCAGTGATCTCCCCAGTATTAAAGCAAGTGGGCGCAGCACCCACCTGAGATTTTAAAAACAGGCTTGCGCCCACCTGAGATTTCATTTGCATCCACTTGAAAATGAGAAAAATCATTTAAAATGGGCATATTTTGACCAATTTTGGACTGATTGTGAAAATGAGAATTTTGCACCCACTTGAGAAAAAATCCCGGGGAGAACACTGTATTCTCTCAAAAAAGCGCACAATGCTCACCTAAATAAGCATGAAATATTAACAAATTTTAAAGACCACACATACAAAAAATTGAGAAATAATTTCATGGATTTACAATTACCACATTGCAAGTTCTTTTTTCATAATCACTATGCAATAAATGCTCTCTACATCTCCCATATTACTTTTTTGCATCATGCATAATCAAGATTATATCAGAAAAGTTCAATGCTGAGCTGGTATAGGAGTAAAATCTTATTTGCTGGTAAGTCAATTTTTAATTTGTCCAAGTCTATAATTGTCATAAAAGTTGCATGTGCACTGTTTAGAAAGAATACAGTGTACAGATTACAGTCTATTGATTGTCACACAATAATAGACACCTGTCTCGTGTCCATATGTTCATCTGTCAACACAATGTGTATGATTTTTCATTAAAATAAAATTTTGAATTTTATTTTTAAGTATGAATGTGAAATTCTTTGAACCTTTATTATGAATGTCGAAGAAATCAGAAAAAGTCATCATTATCATGTCACCACCAAAAGTGGTGACATACATTTATTGTTGTGAAGTTCAACTGCGTTTGGCAGTTGGTGTCACTCATGTCTTCAACAAATGGCAGGTGGTGTCATTTTGCATGTTTTCTTTTCAAGTTTCCAAGTCCTGTACTTTGAATATAAAATGAATCTCTGCATATGGAACACCTCTTAAGTGGAACATTATTTTTAGGCAACAAAGGTGTTCCACTTTTGCTGTAGGTTTTTACAGGTTTTACTGTATTTACAGTTATTCTAGTTGTACTAATATTACTGTATACTTCAACAGGTGAATTCATTACAGATGATTCATTCAACATTGCCTCAAGTACAAATATAATATATTCATCACTTTTCATCCCATGCATAATTTACCATTTTATTCATAGTGAATTATTACTTGATTATGAATCGGATATTTTACAGCATGTAGAAAATGTCGTCATATTTTTTATGCATAATATTTTTATCAGTCATCTTATCTTTTATACATTTGCAGAGTTATATTATTAAAGGAAAATATTTTTTGCAAGGGCTGTTAAATTAATTATTCTGTAAGGTTGTAAACATATGTTATCTTTGTAATATATTAACTATGCTAGTAAGGTAGTGATCATTTTTAACAAACACTTAATTAAATGCAGTACTTTCATAAAAATTAAAAATAACTGGAGTACCACATTACTTCACATAAGCTCAAAGATAAAATTGTGATTACAAGAATGACATAGGATTCAATAGGGATTTGAACATTAGACAAAGAAAGGACACTACTTTGTTGTTCATTACGGCTCCCTGCCTCTGGAGTAGGTATGTTCACTGTTTAATTTTTTATATATAACATATTCTTGATGCGTCCATTATTGATTTTTTTTTGTTTCAATGCTGGAAATACATAAATGTATAATAAAAAAATGAAGCAAATTCCTGGAAGAAGGTCAAATGTTATATTGAAAAACTTGTATGTATGTCTGGGAAGTTTTATGGTAAAATACCAGGACTTAGATTGTGTTAGTCAATTAAAAGTAAAACCAGTGTAAGTGGAACACCTTTGAAAGTTCAAGAAAATATTCCACCAGTAAGGTTCATTTAAATATTAAGTGAATTTGTCACTGAACTCTCAAACATGTTCCACTTACATAGGTATTCTACTCAAAAATGTTCCACTCACATAGGTATTCTACTCAAAAATGTTCCACTAACAGAGGTATTCTACTCAAAAATGTTCCACTTACAGAGGTATTCTACTCAAAAATGTTCCACTCACATAGGAATTCTACTCAAAAATGTTCCATTTACATAGGTATTCTACTCAAAAATGTTCCACTAACAGAGGTATTCTACTCAAAAATGTTCCATTTACATTATTAGGTATTCTACTCAAAAATGTTCCACTAACAGAGGTATTCTACTCAAAAATGTTCCATTTACAGAGGTATTCTACTCAAAAATGTTCCACTAACAGAGGTATTCTACTCAAAAATGTTCCATTTACATAGGTATTCTACTCAAAAATGTTCCACTAACAGAGGTATTCTACTCAAAAATGTTCCACTTACAGAAGTATTCTACTCGAAAAATTTCCACTTACATAGGTATTCTACTTTATCAGTAAAGCTGTCTAAGTGGAACACCTTTTGTTCCTCTAAAAGTGTTCCACTTGGAAGGTGTATCATTTATAGAGGTTCATTAACATTTTGTCTGTTAGTGTTGGGACTCTGAAAATTGTTTCACTTCTAGAGGTGTTCCACTTAACTGTATGAAAGAGTTTTAAAGCTTTTTCATTTTTTGGATATGTAAATATTTTGCAAATCATGTGAAATGCAAACGTAGGTTTTTGAAAATGTCAAGAGAAAATCTAAGTGGAGACCCTTCTCTAGTGAACACAGGTGTCTAGTGAACACCCCTTCTCAGCACATACTCCATTGACTTCTGTATAAAACCGCCTCTCTGTAGTGAACACGTATATACAGGTTTTACTATACTTAAAATATGAGAGATGTTGTTATGTGAGCGACCCACTCTGGAATACCTTTCATTGGATTACAGTTATGATACCTGTTACACAGTAGGACTATGAAGTATTTCGAAAGGGTATAATATTTGAGGTGTTATAGGGGCACAACATCCTTTGTTATGAAGTGTTTTGTCAACATGCTTTGTTCAGAAGCAAGTTACCCCTGCTGTTTAAGATGTTAAATAAATGAACATCATGCGTCCCCCTCAACCTGCATTACCTTTATTTCTTTATTTTTCAACCTGATTCTTGTGATTTCATTCGGGTTTTCATTTCTTTAACAACTTAGATTGATATACGATATGATTTTACTACCACATGTACGGTGTAGGCTAACAAGTGTTGCCACCTGTATCAGTATTGAATTCAGACAATGGATACATATGGGTAACCTATGCTAAAATACAGAATACATATTGTCAAATAATGTTACAAGTGATTTAGAATTTATTGGAATTGCAAACAGACAAAGTGTATGCAAAGAACAGGCAAAAATATTGGTATTAAGAAATTAAGAACCAATCATGGAAACATTAAGGTACACATTTCCTCTAAACAATAAGCAATTTTGGTGAATACTTCCTGCTATTGATAAGCCTAAGAGAAATGTTTGTTTGGTGAAAGACAACATGTATATCCTTTATGTTATGCTATAATTGTAGGTTACATGTTAGAGAAAATCAGTTTGGGAAAGTGTGTGTGACTGGACGTATGGAGACAGAAGTAAAAGACCTAAGAGGAGTGATGAAGGTAACACAATTCTCATAATACATTCTTAATTCATAATTAACGCCCCATATAAAGTTAAAATCATGTTGGCTTGTATTATATAATACATCCTAAACATCCTATCTAACATATATAAAATTCAGAAAATTTGTTGAAAATGAAGAAGAAATGAATGCAGAAAAGTGATTCAGAGAAAAAAGCATATTAGAATTTTGAGTTTTTTACCAAATTTTAACAGATGGGTTTCCCAGCTAATGACTTCATATAGTCACATTAGCCAAAGTTTGTCTAAAGAAGATTTTATTCTGGCAAATATTCTGTGCTGAATGATTCTGAAATAATGTAATTAATAATTACAAAATACATCTGTAGCAAATCAGGTGGTCTGATAAAATCATTATTGAACACTTCTTCTCAGCGCTTGCATTAGGTTAGAGTCCCAAGGACGCAATTTTTTTTAAAAAAGTGTGTCCTTTGAAAAAAAAGTGTGTCCCCTATTTCTAGCCTGTTTTGAGGTATAACTTTATTTTAAAAGCATTTTTTACCGAAACACCTTTCAGTTTTTGATTTCTTGCCGCGAATTTAAAACGGAAGTAAACGTTAAGTACGGACTGAATAAATGCATGTTCGTTCATTCGACAACGAATACATTTTATTTCATGAATAACCTAATATTTGTTTCTGAATAGGAAAAACTGTGGCATGTCATGGTTTCAAATCTAAAAATAAACAAAGTCGAAAAAATTCGAGAGAATCGTGATTATTTTTAAATATTCAACATGTTGAGCCTTATTTACGATTCAAATAAAGGTGAGAGATCATAATTATTTGTTTTTGTTAGGTATCGTTGTACATGTTGTAAACACATTGTAGTATTGACCTAAAAAAATTTTGCGTCCAAAAAACAGAAATATTTTCAATTTTTGCGTCCTCCAAATTATTTTTGAGTCCTTAACATTTACGGGACGCCGTTAATGCAAGCCCTGCTTCTGTATCAATTTACAATTTTCTTTAGAATAAGGCTAAGGGTAAATTCTGAAAAACAAATCCTTGTTTCTTGATTTTGATTCAAATACTGTGCCAGTAGGTAGTTCCCAACTCACAACAAGTAAAGGTGGCTAACTCAAGTCAGACAATATGGCAAACATAGAATATCCTTTTTAATGATAAAGAGATTTCTATAACTATAGTGTACCATTTTTTAATAAACCTTTTGTGTTTACTATTGGAAATCTCGTTATAAAAAGTTATGATTTTTTCAAAAAGAATTTTTTATCACTTTTTCGCGACTTCATAACATTTGCCGTTATGAGAAGTCAAACCCACTTAGAAATCATTTTAATACTTTGAATAAATTTTGAATATTGAATGATGAAAATCAAATTATTTCTACTTGTATCTAGTCTATCAATTTTCATCATGTAGTTTAACCTTTTGATGTCTAGGTTGTGGAAAATGGTAACAGACTGCGAAGCACTGGAGTTACGGGGGTTAATGCGGACTCTTCCAGATCTCATGCAGTTATTCAGATGGATGTCAGAGACAACCAAGAGGAACAACTGGGAAGGTACATTGATATTTAGATGCACCCTTGGTACACAGCCAATATAATTCGGCGCCGTTTCGGCATCAAAAAATTTGGCGCTGTTCTGGCACCGTTTCGACACTGTTCCGGCACCGAAACCTATCGTCACCAAAATTTGCCACCAGACAAAATGGCGTTGAAAATCAGATTGCATTTTGGGGGTGTATTCAGTATGCAGTGAAAATAATGACTGGCTGGATACAGCAGCGTGATTGGTGTTATTAAAAGGTTATTTTATAACAAAATAATTGTTGTGTCACACCAGTCATGCTGTTGAACCTGACCGGTCCATTATTGGTAGCTATCAAGTGTGTATATACAGCAAAGCATATTTAACAAATTCTAATGATATCTATCCTTAAATCCTAAATTAGACCACTCAAAATTAAATCATTTTTAAGATTTCATGCTGGGAATGGGTTGTTCACAACGTTACTTAAACATTTTAAAACATTGCAAGAAAAGTACATGTAAGTTAATAGTGTGTCAGTTGCGTTAAATCTAAAGCTGCTGATTCAAAACATGAAAAAGTTCTACAAACACATGTGTAAAACAGTATAATTGGAGGCTAAAATGTCATTTAAAAGTAGATAGGACAACTTCTTACATACATGTACCCCTGACACACATTTGTGGAAAATATTGCAACTTTCTCTGTTGTCAATTCCCATATAATTTGTATTATTATAGAAACATCATTGTATGATTGAATGTTTCTTGTTATTGTAGAATCTCATTTATAGACCTAGCGGGCAGCGAAAGGGCGGCTGATGTGATGGACACAGATAAACAGACACGTCACGAAGGAGCTGAAATAAACACAAGCCTTTTAGCTGTTAGTATCTTTGCATATTTGTTGACAAACTGTCATCTCCAAACAAGACATGACCCATTTAAATCATACATTCTTCTTACATCTGTGCATTCCTCTCGTAGTATTATATTACACCTATATGTCCATGTTACATTATTGTACCCCACATTACATTTATGTAATTACAGTATTGTATTACACATGTGCATTCTTCCTTGTACATTATTGTATTACAACAGTACATTACTCTAACATTATTGTAACATACATGTTAATTTCTCTTACTTTATTGCAAGATTTCTGTTAGTGTACATTCCTCCAACATTCAAATTTATTTATACTTCCAGTTGAAAGAATGTATCAGATCAATAGATCAAGAGAAATCCCACACTCCGTTCAGACAGAGTAAACTGACACATGTATTGAAGGAGTCCTTCACTGGTGACTCAAAGACATGTATGATTGCAAACATTTCTCCAACCAATCTAAGCAGTGAACATACCTTGAATACGCTTAGATATGCAGACAGGTAAGACAAGAATTTATAATTCTCTACATGCTTCAAGAATATTCTGTATACTCTGTGTGTCTTTGTAAAAAATGAAACTAAGAATTGCTGGAACACATCGTTGAGAATATATATTTAGGTAGCAGTCTTGTCACACATTCAATTAGAATAAAGTTATCATAGGGTAGATCCAATAGTGTGATCCAATTTCATTGTGTTTTCTAATTATTTGTCAAGCAGTCAGAGGTCATTTATATATTTCTAATGTTATATGGTCAAGAATTCAAAGAATTTGCTTTCAGGGTGAAAGAACTGCAGACTGATATAAAAGAGAGTATAAAGAACTCCATGTTGAACAACAATAGTAGAAACTCAAGTCAACAAAATCAATCCATACTACAATCCCCTATCCCAAATGCACACACATCCCGTAGTCAAGCTATGACAAAAGAACACCAAAAAGCTGGTCAGCCTGTCACAAATGCACACCAAACACCTGCTGGGGATAATACGGCTACAATGGACAAAGTTGATAAGACGCAATCAACACCAGCTGGCAGACTGTTCCACCCAAGTACTATACAATGTAGCTCAACACCAAAGTCAACACCAGTTAAAAGCAGGGTTAACGTGAGAGATTCCATGCCCAAGAAAGATCTCAATGATACATTGCCTGATGAGTGGGACACTCCTATCAAAGGACATAAATTAAGAAAGAAATCTGGTAAAGGAAACAACTCAAAAAGCCACAGCCCAAAAAGGAATTTATACAATGAGTTTGAATATATTCCGAGTCCTTCTGAACTTAATGTAAGTCCTTCAAAATATTTTCCAAATTCAGCAAAAAGGGTGTCATCAAATTCAAATTCCGGAAGTAAGCTAGAAAATGATCATGATGAGAAGATGTATAAATATGAACACTTTGCTAAGAAGGATTCTTCAAACCAAACAGATTTTGCCACTGATGATGATACGGATCTTGACCACTCAGCTGTTCAGACAGACAGTGGTGAACATGCCAAACCAATGCACCCAAGAGAGGACAGTGAGCTATCTGAGATGGTAAATAATATGTCCAAACATGAATCAACAATACAAGAGAACCAAAGTGTTGATGATGTCCACAGAGATAGAAAGGCAAAACATGAAAAATCACCCTCCAATGTACAAATTTACAAACACCATGAGAAAGAAAAGAAACCCCTAACAACATCACCAGAAGATGAAAGAGAAATAAGAACTGTCTACACCAACTCCACAATGATGTCCGATGAAAAATTAGAGTTAAACAAAAATCAGCAACAACTACCAACACCAGAGGCATTTCTCAAATCGTTATCAAGATTAAGACTTGGGAATTCCAGTCAGGAAAAAAATATTGTCAAATTACAAAACCCGAAAGAAACAAGTGATTTGAATAATCAATCTTTGGATGATATTGATCGAAATAAAATAGGAATTCCCGCGGATGATTCTAAGGAATTTAGATCTCTTTTACATTCTCCATCAAATGATAGGAATCTCTCCAAAAGTTTAACATTCCCAAAGGCACAACGCCCTAATCATGTCACTCCAAAAGGTCCCTACTCTGTTCAACCAACTGACAATGAAGAACTTCCCAACAGACAACTTGTTAATATGAAAGAACATCATCTCGTGTCAAGCTCTCCAATCAAGAAGGAACATTTAAATATAAGTGGATTTGGTTCTGCGTTTTCACCTATTGCACAAAATGGAATCAAACCTGGACCAGTCACAAAAAGTTTTGTGTCAAATAATACAAACTTGTATATTATGCCATCTGCAAAGAAACAAGGATCTCTCCAAGCTGAAAATAGCTATATCCCTGTTACCCCAAAGAATGACATGGAGTCCTCTGCTAAAGACACAGCATTCCAAATAGGACATTTACCAGAGGCCAAATTGAGTTTCCAGTCAGATGAATTCGACCTGATGAGCCCAAGGACAAAAGCATCAGCCATAGAGAAAGCAAGGTAACATATCCAGCTAAAACGTTTTCACCTTTTTTCAAAGTTCTATATAATATCGTCATCTTGTGCTAACGGGCATCTTCATGCTTCTTGATGTGTGAACGCTACATAAATCTTATCATCAAAATTCCAGAAAAAGCAGTTCTTGTTCAACAAGATATCTTTACAGATACAAGAGCGGACTAGAGCCAAAATCTGATTAGGTTTTGGGCATCCTGGGGAACTTATTTTGTGGCCATTTAGAAGAGTTTGACAAAAAATACAATATTTATGACTGTGTGTCTTGACTTATTCATCACTCTGTGTCTTGCCTTATCCGTCCCTCTGTGTCTTGCCTTATTCCTTCACTCTGTGTCTTGCCTTATTCGTCACTCTGTGTCTTGCCTTTTTCATCACTCTGTGTCTTGCCTTATTCGTCACTCTGTGTCTTGCCTTATTCGTCACTCTGTGTCTTGCCTTATTCGTCACTCTGTGTCTTGACTTATTCGTCACTCTATGTCTTGCCTTATTCGACACTCTGTGTCTTGCCTTATTCGTCACTCTGTGTCTTGACTTATTCATCACTCTTTGTCTTGACGTATTCGCCACTCTGTGTCTTGACTTATTCGTCACTCTATGTCTTGCCCAATTCGACACTCTGTGTCTTGCCTTATTCGTCACTCTCTCTGTGTCTTGACTTATTCATCACTCTTTGTCTTGACTTATTCGTCACTCTGTGTCTTGACTTATTCGACACTCTGTGTCTTGCCTTATTCGTCACTCTGTGTCTTAACTTATTTGTCACTCTGTGTCTTGCCTTATTCGTCACTCTATGTCTTGACTTATTCGTCACTCTGTGTCTTGACTTATTCGTCACTCTGTGTCTTGACTTATTCATCACTCTGTGTCTTGACTTATTCATCACTCTGTGTCTTCACTGTCATAAATATTGAAAAATGAGTTCCTAAACAAGGCATTAAAGCTTGACATTTTCGCCTTCTGAAACTCGAATCATTGTACTTGTATGTGACAGTCGAGTATATATGATATATACAATTAACAGTCTTGTATTTTCCAGGAACCTTGTTGTTGATGCCCATGAAGAGCAGCTATGTGAGATCACCAGTTTATGCAAAGATGAGATGAAATTGCTGTTAGCTGTTAAACGGGGAAACATGGTAAGAAATTCAGATAAAGGACTTGGGCGTAACTGCTTTGCCAAATATATATTCAAATGTTTTGTTGCATTTGCCTCTCCTAGTTTTAGTCTTGGTGTGAAGAACCTTGAGATGTCCAGGAATGTTAACAAATACTTTCATAGAAATGATCCTTTTAAGTAAATACTTCAATACTTAACAAATTGTGGATGTATTCTAGTTGTAATTCTAGTTGTGCTCTCTGTTTTTCAGACATTTGATGTTTATATGCAGAAGTTGAAAGAACTATTGGCCCACAAGGAGCGCCATCTGGAGACATTGAGGGAACAAATTAATGAATTTACAAACTTTCCAATCCACAGTGATGTAAATACATCTGCATGATGTAAATACAACCCGTTGACGGAAGAAAAATTTGAAATTGAGAAGTTTTAGTATCCGTTATGCGTCCAGAGCAGCCATTATAGAGGTTAAGCTACACGTTCAAATGCAAATAGTGAACCTGAACGCGTAACTTCACGCTCAAGTACACGTTTGAGAAAATGTTCTGTTAAGCTACACGCTTGAAACCATGTCAGTGGACATGGCGCTATATTTATGTCGTGACTGTCTAATGGTCATGGCTCTAACTTAAGGATGTTCCCTGGTCAGATAGGAAAATATTCAATAGTATTTAACTTTTTCTCAAAAATGGTTTTCTGGGATTCTCACGGGCAACAAAGAATATTAAAACTTTAAAAACCATATGTTAGTGTGCTTTTTTCTGAGCAAGAGGCCTCTAAAGTGTCAATATTTGACAAAAGTGGGCGTGGCACTTTCTCATTGAAACCCATGTTAAAAATCAGGTTTTCACCCCAAAACACACTTTTGAATATTTAACTTTTTCTTAAACTCACAGAAACACTTAGTTATGCTATGTACTTCACATTTTGAAAAGAAAAATTAGGGGTTGGTGTTCATCGTTTTCAACTTCGTCCAGGGAACATCCTTAAAACTCGTGTACTTTAGGTCTGGATTCAAATCTAGTCGCATGAATACTCTTTCGTTTTTTATTTTTCCTTTATTTTATATTCATCCACGGTTTCAATTACTTATCACTTTTTACTCATATCTAGGGCGGACGTAATGCAAAAAATGCCTCGTTCACAAATCAAATGTAGTGATAAGGCAATAGAAGGCACTGGTTGTCATTTCATTTCGTTTAGTATACATATTGTACTAAGCCCCGTGTATCAAATTAGCCCTGCCTATTTATAATTGTACGGAATGAAACAAAACTACCACATTTGAAGTTGTCATTTACCCATTAAAATGTATTCTTATTTCCAATTAAGGATTGGGGTTTACCAATGTACTAGTAACAACCAAGATTATCTGTATCAAATATGGGCTCCTCGGTCATCCTAGAACAAAGCTAAAATCAATGAGCGACGTGTTATAAGTTATAACTCATGTCACGTAAAAACCTGTAATTTTCACGCTTACCTGTAAAAAGTAGACTAATCTGACATCATTTTCCTGCACGCGGATAGAAGTACACTTTAATACTTTGTTGAAAACGCGTCTGTAAATTGCACGAATATGATAATCTCATGTAAACTTCACCCTGGCCCACAGGAAATAAACAAATCTGACGTCATTTATCTGCGCGCGCATTGAAGTTCACGTTCAAGTTTTGTTAAATACGTGTAGCTTAACCTCTCTATTGCTTTTTTCAGAAATTAAATTCATATTTAAATGAATGACTGTTGATCAAATAGAAATTGAATAATATCCATTGATTTTTGTTAGTTGAACAAAGTTTGGCAGGGACGAGATGACTATCAAAAGTGAATCTACAGCTGTAGGTTATCATCGTACGTGTCTTAATTTCATTGGGATGAGCTACTCAGTAGAATTGCCATTTTCTAATTATGTCATTACCAGAAGTGGTTATATATAGTCTCCAACTGTTGTGTGGACGCCGGTTGGTGTTTGGCGATCGCCGTTTGTTACAAATAGCTGGTGGTGACACTCAACGTGTATTGGTGACTCACCTATCACAATCAAACATAACCTAGAAAATCCCCAGTCATACAGCACAAGCAGTGTCAGAAGACATAGGACACAACCCAACACTAAACTAGCAAAACGCAACTTGATTCACTGTTAATTAAGAACACAATCCGCTGTCATATGAACATTCCACAATGTTGCACAACCAAACAGTCAAACCATAATCGGGGGCAACCAAAATGTAACACCAATAAACACAACCAACTTTCTCGAACTTATAATTACACCAATAAACCACAACCAAACACAACCAGATACCTCATCCGACTAGGAAATGGAAATTATCAAAAAAGCAAACTCTAAGTGTATACCTCTCATAAGAAAATCAAACCCCATATATCCTAACGTGATTAGAAACAATGTCTTATACCCCCTTTACCCCCATCAGGATCCAAAGTCACAATCCAAGGCTAGCAAAGGACATTTCATTCATACTGAAGTCATTACAATACACGTTGAATAAAAATTTTAAAATTGATAGCCAATATTTGTAACATCAAACATAGTTGTAGATACAAGTACTCATACAACAGCATTTAGTGTCAAATGATGTGGGATAGAGTTTCTTACTTTCTGGTTTTTAAATGTTTTTTTTACTATTTGATATGTAACAAAACTAGTTTTAAATTTGATTCAAACATCTATTAGACGTGTAATAGCTCATTTAAAATATTAAACACCAATGGTCGACTTTTAAATAAACATTACTAAAATTGAACAACATTCTTGAAAGTTTGAATTCAAAAGTGCAATATCAAGCAAGAAATATACAGTATCAAACATAGAATTGAAAGTACTGAACAACAATTTTAAAGTTTGAATTCAAAAGTGAAAAGTCAAACAAGAAAAATTAAATATCAAACTTTAAATTGAAAAAAATCGAATAAAGACGCTAAAGAAATGGCATAATCTGATAATAACGCCTGTATTAATCGTGAAATTCTGAATAATCATTATACGATAACGTTTGTTCACAAACAAGCAATTACAATTTAAGTAGATCTTTGACTCTATCTTCTAATATGTCCACCATATCTTCCACATATTTCACATTTATCTGGAGAGAGAATGTATCGTCTGATCGTCCAAGGAATGACACTACTATCGTACCACTGAATTCACCAGTCTCTGCTACATCAAGGGGTACGTTAAAGCTTAGCTCTTTTATATTAATGATACCCCCGAGACCGAACTGAGTGATGAAGGAGACAGCGTTCAGACCAGCCTTTTGCTGTTTATTTACGCCATCAAAAACAACTTGGGTGGTGAGCACTACGGATCTACAATAGTAAAATTCAAATTTTAAAATAAGCTACATCCATTTTACTTTAAAATCTTCGATATCAATCAAATTAAATATATTGCAAATATTCTACCTGACGAATCTACGTTATTTCCAAAAATGTCAGTTTTCACACCCATCATTCAATGTTTATTTCTAATACTAAGTCAAAATGTTCTCAGGCGGACTTCATCATTTGAAAATTGAATTGCGACCTTTCCGCATATGTTTTTTATATCTTTTATAATCTTTATACTTGATCAGATCAGATATCCCTATTCTTTTTTGGAAAATCAAATAAGGACACTGGCATGTTTTATAGAAAAAGTTGCATCAAACATATTACACTTTTTGTCCTTCCCTTCTTCCGTTAACCCTAATGTCTGCAACCTTGCAATGTGTGAAAAGAATATAAGCCCAAGACTCAATGCATTGTGGCTGATTCATTCCACTCAAGCTTTGTTTCTTAAACTTTGCAAATATTTAAAAACAACATCTTAGTGGAATGATTCAGCAGACAATGCATTGGATTCAGGACTTAAATCCTTTAATGTTGATGGCATATTTTTAAAACGTTAATCCAACATACAACACTTTTCATGCCTTCCCTTCTACTTCCGTTAGTGGAGATGCTTACCAGTGACGACAGAATACTCACTTTGATTGTTCAAGTACTGCAGCAGCCGCGTCCATCAATCCCTTCGGTCCTTCCAACGAACTAGCGAGGCCTTTCATAGACTCTTCGAGACCAACCAACGCAAGCTTCGCTGCTTCAAATGCAAGATTGTTTTCTTTTGCCACTTTAAGAGCAAAATCCGAGGCTGATTGCATTGCAAAAAGACCTGATTTCAAACCGACTAACGTAAGACTCAGTGTCTGCAAAAGAGGAAAGACTCTTTGGACTAATGGCAAAACATATACAATTTACATCTCTTACACCTCATTGAATTGATTGCATTGAGTTTAACATTATTTGATTTCTATTTTCTTTTATTGTGTCATTGAAATTCCTACTTCTATTGGTAACAAGCATGCCGTTCTAGTAGCTTCTTTAGCAGCACATTCTGCAACCTCTCGGATCCTCTCCAGTCTCAACTTCTCGGCAGTTTCTCTCGCCTTCTCTGCCCCAGTCTCTCTTGTTTGCTCATTGAACTCTCTTCCTTTTTCTACAGTGCTCTCTCTCGTATGCTCAGCGGTCTCTCGAGCTCTTTCACTTGCTTCTCTACCCGTTTCTTTGGTAAACTCCCGTGCATCCTCAAGTCTTACTGCTTCGGCGACATTTTCCGATGCTTCTTTCGCCCTCTCCCATGGTTTAAAGCGTCCGAAGAAACGTTTTTGTCGATCTTTGATCCTATTTTCTAAATATTACGTCATAGAAAATTTATACCTAATGAGCATCACATAGAACTGCATGGATCAGATACTAGCTTGTATATGAGTATTAGAATTACGCCTAAACATATGTCATTTTATTTAATGATATGAACTAAACTGGTCGCGGTTTTTCCACTGTTTCCTTTTTACTTTTCACCAGTTTGTTAACATATCTTTATACTTACTCATTATAGCAGAGATGATTCGTTTTGTGTGAGAATGGAGGAAACCTTTAGATTCTTTGGCATCGAGTCTTTTATCCAGCAGTGAATCTAAAATATAAATATCTACTGTTACCACACCTGCTTTAAGGACGCTTATTTTAAGCAGAATTGTTGAGTACAATGTGCGAAATAAATTAAAAACTATAAGACAGCAACTACACAGAGAAGAAAATCCGACTTAACAACACAGGTTTTGATACATAGCGGCCATCTTGAAAACCTCTATATATCACCATATAGTATTTGAACGAAATCTGTCTACTGGTATTGAGTTATAAAAAATTACGTTCTTTAACGGATAATCCCAACCATTTTGAAATTCAGCAGCCATATTAAAAATGTCTTCTTTGGGGAAGCTCCTTTGTCCCTTTGCATCAACATATTAAATTTCAACAGAATCCGTCTACTGTTATTTGAGTGATCAACGATTATGTTCGTTTGCGAAAAATGGCGGCTATTTTGAAATTCAGCTGCCATCTTAAAAAAATTCTTATCCAGCAGATCTCCTGTGTTCCTACCCATCAGTATATAAAAGTTGAACAAAATCTGTATACTAGTTTTTGACTATGTTTGATTATGTTTTTTTTACGAAAACTGGCGGCTATTTTGAAAATCAGCAGCCATCTTGAAAATGTCTTTTTGAGCAAAGCTCATTTGTCCCTAGGCATGAGCATGCAATTCTTGAACGAAATCCATCTACTAGTATTTGATTTATCAAAGATTACGTTTTTACGAAAAATTGCAGCCATTTTGAATTAAGCGGCCTTATTGAAAATTCCTTCTCAAGCAGAGGTTCAACCCCCTCAAGCATTAAGCAAATGATACAATACAATTTAAAAATATTATAATACAATTTGAATCAAATCCGTCAACCCTTATTTGAGTTATCGCCCGGACGAACGGACAGACAGATTTCATATATCTTCGTTCGATGGGATAATAATCTGATAATCGATTTGTATATCATAATATATCACAAAAGAAATATCACAGATACTTTGCAGATATCATACCTTTAACAATCGTATCGCCATGTAGTAATTGCACATCACGTGGCATGCTTCCTAAAAGATAATGAATATTGTTTTAAGTATTCAATCGTTTCATATAGGGTAGCATACTTCCTAAAATGAAACAAAATGATATATAATGGATACATACTTCTGTTAAGGAGGATTTTCTGTTTTGTTGAAAATGGAGGACAATCTAGAAGTTATTGATTTAGGGTGCTAGCTTAGGTGTACTGACTCATATTCGTGGATATTTACGCTCTGGTTTAATCTATTTTATAAAAATTATTTGTTAAAATTGAATAATAAATAATTCTAAATTATGTTTAATGATAAACGATATGTTGTGCAATCTAGATAGCCCTGACTCTAAAGTATTTCAATTTCATGTTTAAATCTCTTTGATATTGCAGACTGGTGAAATATTTTTCTTGAACAGAAAGTATATTTTATCTGATTCTTGATGCCATCCTACGTCAGACACTCAGAATTCAGGAAGCAATCCATAGCTAGTATCAAATACAGGATGATCCAAAAAAGAACCCCAAACAATTGCATGTTAATAACTCAGCATGGGTTTCAAATCATATTTGGCACAATTAAAGTTCTTTCATTCTAATAAGTGCATCGGTCTAATTTTAATAGTCACGACTTGATGGCCATTTACAAAACATGCTCAAAATGCCGAAATGTGTCTCACTGACTGGACATAAATCCCACCAGATTTTTATCTGTAGGCCTATTTTCTTCACGAACAATCCTTGAAACAAGAGATAAGGGGGAAGATAAGAGCCATACACAAGATGTATATACTCGTGTTGTGAACAATTACGCCCAATACGTTCAAGTTGCAATTGGCCTCCATACACGTCGCCCTTATTATGGCATGTTTTGGAAAATAGCCATAAAATCGTGACTACTAGAGATATACAAATGAAACTTGGTAGAATGACAATACATTGGACAAGGCCTAAAATTGTGCCCAATAAGACACTAAACTCCTGCAAGATAATTGAGTTATTAAGATTGTTTGGGTTACCTTTTGGCCCACCTTGTATTACAAATGAGACCTATTTAATTCAAGTTATTTGATATAATATTCTAACTGATGTCCAAGTAAAACATTGGACGGACCTCTAACAGCAGATTGACAATGGATATTATTCTCAAGTATCCGATGAAGGCAAATGTCTATATTATCAGATTACTGCTTTTAAATAAGGTCAATGCACAAACTCTATGTAAAGAAATATATCAATTGAAACTGTCTGTCATCATTTTTTAAAAACTATGATTATAAAAATTGATTATGAGAATATTTTGTATGTTAGAAATGCTTTGAGGATTTTCCAGTGAAAATCTCACGAAGAATTACTGAGAATGAAAACGTTATTAGGAAAACAGTGGTGTATGACTTTATCTGAAAAATAATAAATATTTTCAGTGATTCAAAAGTTCATCTTCCATTTCAGTTAAGTAAACACAGTATTCATTTATTCATGACGTAAAATCCATTCCTACTTTTCTTGAGCTTTGATGAACATCCACCTGGACAGCTATCTTCTATTTTCTTAATCTCGTTTTCTATTTTAATGATCTCTGCCTTTGCATCCTCTAATTTCTCAACCTCTCTTTCGGCAACTTCTACACTTTCCTTCAATTTCCTTTCCAAGTCGTCAATCTTTGCTTTCTGATCACCAATCTCTCGAGCTTTGGCATTAATTGAATTTTGAATCCCATCAACCTAAAAATACATAAACCTTGTATCGGCGATATTGGCTCCAGTTTGCACTCTGTCAGCAATTTCTGTCATTTGCCACTGTGAACTAATCAAGTTACCTAAACAATCAGGCTTAAATATATTATAACTTTTATGACAAACTGTGTATATCATATATTGATAAAGGCTACACTATTAAAAACAAGTTATTTAATGTCGTTATGTTATAAAAAAGAAGCTTTGGCTGAAACAAACGTTCTTACAACAGCTTTCTTAGCTCGCAGATCTTCAGCTGCATTTTCCATACTTTGTTTAGCTGATTCAAGTTCTTTAGTGGCTGCATCAAGGGCCTCACTTGCCTCCTCACTTAAATTATCAATGGCGCCGACCACCTTGTTCTTCAAGGTATCCAAGAGTGTTTTCTCAAAGTATCCCGATACACTAAACGTTGCAGAATCTAATGATGTGTAACTAGCAGTAAGGGTAAGTTGGGCTTCAAAGAGATCTAAGAATTTACCTCTTATTTCAAAGTGAATACCTTGTGAATCGACTGTTATATTAACTGATGCACATATTTTAAGCACACAAACTTTCCCCTGAATATCAATCTTGGCTCTAGGTGGATTCCACCCAACGTCAACTAACAATTCAGGACCAGATTCACCATCACCATCAACGCTGATTAGATCATTGCCAATATTAAACCTATCTACTGTCAAAAATATGAATATACCATTAATGTCCATGCGCATTCTACTACTAGCTCTAAAGCGCATTATTTGTATTGTGCCGTTAAATCTAAACCCACTGGGTATTGTTACAACATTTGGCAACACTTTACCAAACTGGGAGTATGATACATCAATACCATCTGGAAAACCTATCTCATCTAAAGCCTTTGGCAGACTCGGGTAATACGCAAATGCAGCTAATATTTCGGGGATCGTTAATTCAGTAATTTTTCCTAAGAAATAACTTTCAGAAGGGACGATTTTGTTGAGGCCGATAAACAAAGATGCATTGAAGAGTCTTGCTTTGGAGTTGTCAATCAAACCGATCTGAGCACGACCCCCTAGATGCAACTCAGAGACGAAAGTAGGTTCAGGTAATATGCCTATTTTAATAAATAGGTCACATATAGTTACAATCGGAATAGTGAATGGTTTAGGCCAACACTCCACCATTGCCATCTCCAATGTTGCCCCTGTAGTTGAAAACCCAATCGCACCAGTAAAACGTAAAGCAGGCTCGTCTATAGTTAGACTAGCTATCAGGGCTACCTCTATCATAGATGGTCTTGCAATGATTCTAAACCCTAAACCAGACAGCATAAATCCTGGAGCAATCTCTATTTCTTTAGGAATCGTCGACTCGAGTAGAAGGTCATCAATTGCAAGTCGCCCCTTCATAACCATAGAGAGATTAGGAAAGAACTTGTTAAAAACTCGACAGAGGAAATCACCCGAACAGTCTGCGGCAACTGGGAGTTTCATATGGACAACAATCGATACACCATCTAATGTATTGGTGTTGCTCAACATTGTGAGTCTGAATTCTAATTCACTCCTTCCCATGGTTGGTATTTCATGAGTTGACATTACGAGTCCGATAGAGCTTTCGTCAAATATCCTACTACCTGGCATTGGAGTTATGTCAACGTTACCCGTAGTGAGTTTATCTATAACGCTACTGAGTCTAGTCTTTTCAAGTACAATGCCTAAAGCCATAAGCATAGCCCCATCTACCTTTCCTCCTAATACTTCTACCTTCGAAGCATCAAAACTACCTATAACTGCAGTGCCACTTACTCTCACACCAAAATTGCTGCCTATCGAAACTTCAAAACATGGATTTTCGATTGAGAACGTCTCGAAAATATTACCGACGAAATCAGGAAGAAACGACGACGCTAATTGTGCCATGACTTTTCCAACTTCTAGTGGTTTTTCAGAACAAGCAGATGCCAAAAATTCGGGTGCTCCAGGTGGTTTACTAATGCTAAGTGCAATGGGATAGTCCTTTATCATCCATGTGCCACTTGCCAAGAAGTTTAAAGTCCTTGGTTTTCCTAGGCCTATGACAAAGACGATCTGAGGTTCTTTTATCTCGAACACATGCTTCACTATTATTATGTCATCTCCAAGTATCACTGGAATATTTAACTCATTGATATCACCGTTATAGTTCATATTAGAAAGACCTTGACTGAGAAACCCCGCCAATGGAAATCCAGGTGGCAGCTGAAGATTGATCGAGTTGAGAACTTTGTTTATGATACCCTCGATGTCAAGCTGCGGTCCTGGCAAAATTGTAAAGCCAATTGACTTAGGAGCAGAATATTTAACCATGAAATTCATCGGGTCTGAGTCTCCGTCAAATCTTGCAGTAAACAATAGGGTGACGCCCTTGGTGACTGATGGTAGTAAAGACATAACATCAGAATCACTGGTAAAGTTGACAATGAGCTCGGGAATATCTTTAGAAGCCCCAATAAGCGCTACTTCTGGAAAGGCTAAACTGCCAATTAGAGGCACAGTGGATATATCATAGCTCCCAATATGTTGAATAATTGAGGCGAGGGTCAGTTCTTTCATCAGGGCAGCCAATGAAAATCCATTTGTGAAATTACCTCCTTCTTTGAGTCTGTTGAAGTTTAACATGATGTTTGTACTACCAAGACCAGGTACAGTTGATGTAAAGGAGAATTCGAACCCATTGCCAGAATCTGTAAATTTAGCATCGAGAATCATGTCACTTACAACAATGCTATTGAACTTCAGTTCATTGAAAAGACCTAATGCACTAGTAGTATCACCGGGTACCACTGCATTTGCGACGCTTCCCAACAATGTGGCAAGGGTTACATCAGATGTAACTGGGAGTGCAGTGATTTCGTATTCCCCACTCTCATAACCTGCTTGGATAATAAATGAAACCCCTCCAAAGTCCCATGTAGCATAAAACGACACAGTGGTAGTTTTATTTGGAACCGCAATAGACAGGTCGATCTCGATATTTGTAACACTTAAAGTAGAAGGAATAATTGTTATCTCCCGATCATCAAATAAAGTAGCTGAAAGTTCCACGGTTTCATTACAGACATTGACTTCAAGATAATTTACAACCAAATCAGACAAATCAATAGGATTATTCCCAATTGAGCCTAGCCGAAGTGCTTCTGCAATACCACTAATAGTATTCAAGACTTTTTCAATGACAACATTAACATTCACACAGTCATCAGGGTTGGGAGTTAAGGACACCGTGCAACCGTTGGACGCCCACGTTACTTTGCAGTTATCAGCCACAGTCTGCTCGATATTGAACACGCGTGATTTTAATGTGAACAAATCAGATAAGGTAGGCAAGGAATCTGAAATAAAAGAAACACCATTGATGAAAATGAAGATATTAAACATGAGTATAAAAACAATAAAAAATAAAGTATTACAGAGGTCAATGCAATGCTACAGTATTGTCATACTTTAGCTAGCACCAAGGGTCACAGGGCGAATAAAATTATTTTCGGTTAAGCTATGTGCTATCTGGTTACACCTCTTACCCCTTGGTACATAATCGTACCTGGCAAAAACACCTCTTCAGCCTCTTGTGGTTGTATCATCACACCTGGCTGCTTTGAAGAATCATCACCTATATCCGTTTTTGTTTCGCCAATGTCCAGCTTTCGTGTTTCTATAATTTCATAAATAACTAAATACATGTTGAAGTTCAAATGTTGACATGGAGGTTTCAGGGGCCCATAGACAATAGAATGTTTTATCTTCTATACGGATTACCCATGTGCTTGAAGAGAAACATGGTGCCATCGATAAACATCAATTTGGGTTTCAAAAATATTTTTATAGACTAAGACTCCTAGGCCTAGTTGGAGCTAGCATCACAAATAACCGCAGTTTAACTTGTTACAAGTATTTGAAAATACATTAATACATTATTTCATTTTCAGTTATCCATTCACAGCGTCAAGTCGGTTTTTGCCTGTCATATCAGTATTTTGTACCCGGCATCCCCATTATCCAATCATATACTAAGAGCCATCAGTTCATTCACCAATCAAATCACGTTTTACATTGACCAATCAATTCAATTGTACCCGTCATCTCCATTATCTAATCATATACTAAAAGCCAACTGTTCATTCGCCAATCAAATCACTTTTTTACATTGACCAATCAAACCGATTGTACCTGTCATCTCCATGATCCAATCATATACTAAAAACCATAAGTTCATTTGCCAATCAAATCACTTTTTACATTGACCAATCACAATTGTTCGTGATTTCCATAAGGTTTGAGATAACAGCGCGGATCGAGATGCCGACCTAGAAGTATTACCATCTGAATACTTATCGAAAAAATAAACACAGGTGAAACTCCCTAGGTTTACTGCACAAAAAATGTATTGATGTATTAAATAATTAATAGATTAAACTAAGATAACGGATATTGGACTGAGATGATTAGTGACTTATCTTGAACTGACTTGAAATTCGATATTTTCAAAAATGTAACACTTAAAGGAGTGGTATCGATATGGTGAATTTTTTGAACACACGTTTCTCTTAAACCACTCATAAAAAATCTCAAATATTTAACACATCGTCAATTTAATGGTCATGTTTTGAATGGTAACAATATAATTTGAAAAATATATATATACTTTCATCTATATTGTTTTAGAAAACACATCAAATACTTGTTTTGTTCTTGGTATCGTGTTCCAGAGTAAAATGAAACATCTTTCCGAACCTAATTGGAATAAAACGACATAAACACAACATGTTTAGGTCTCTCAATATTGTAATTGTACAAAGGAAATTTTGGTTGATTTTAAAAAAGTATCTTGTTAATGAAATAAAAGTTTTATCTTGATTTTTATCTATTTTGGGGGGATTTTGTTTTAAATTTTTGAATACTTTTTTAAAATCAACCTAAAATTCCTTTGTATAACTATAATATTGAGAGGTCTTAAAACATGTTGTATATGCTATTTTGTACCAACAAGGTTCGGAAAGACATTTTATTTCATTCTCAAGAATTGGTAGAAAGGAGCAAAAACAATAGCACTAAAAAAATGTTAACAAAAACAGTTATATAAAATATTTCTAAATGATTTTCGCATTAAATTGTTGTCAATTAGTCAAGATTACATAAAATACCGTGTTTTTTACAGAATATTTCAATTGGTTTAAGAGAAAAACATTATTGAATTCAGTTCACCAATCGATACCTATCCTTTGAGATCAATCACAATTTCAAAAATCAGCTTTACGTTGAGAAGTATGGTATACAGGGTGTCAAAAAACAACAGCATCCCCCCCTCTACAGTGAAAAGTCCTTAATGGTACATGTCGTGTCATACCTCATTTGAAAGATAATATAATTCTTGAGTTACTCATCAAATTTCATTTAATTAAACTTTATATTAAAAAAGCTTCATTGTTTCAAAGTTTGCTACTTCAGTACTTTGTTTGCTGCTCTGTTACTGGTTAAAGGTCAAATTTTAAGAAAGTGGAATATGAAAGAATTAGCCCAGATTTCAACTGCACTGAACACATGGGCTCAGTTCTGAAAAACAGGGTATAGGAATTGATGGACAAAGAGCCACTTGGAAAATGATACAGTAAGGATGTAATTCTGAAGAATGTGAGGAAAGTGCTTAGAGGATTATGCAATGCTACACCTTTATGTGAATTTTTATTGAAATCATATCTGTCCTAATAAGCTGCTGTTTGAGCAGCAACTGGTGATCATACCAACTACCAAGAATCAACTGTAAATCTGTAAAATTATAAGATATAAAGCTGAAATTTCGCAGGTAACTCCAGAATTAAATTGTCTTTAAAGTGTGCGCCAAAGTTTAAAACTGCGCAGGCGCACCGCTCTCGCTAAACTATATAAAGAGATTACCGGGTACACGATTCAGAGGTAAGCCAGGAAGGCGAACGATCTTCGTCTCATGATGATTTCCCATCTAATCGTAACCAGGGAAGTTTCACCATTGAAATTGAAAATTACTATTAGATATACTTTGTAGATGTTATTTATGAAGCTATTTAGTGTTTGCATCAATCAAATGGCTCATTTTGAACATATAAAAAGTATTTGTGTTTTGTTTCCCAGGGAATTGTATTGTGTACACACATAAATAGTGTACACTATACAGTACTTGAATAGCCTGGTTTACATAATATTGAAGGGCATGCTGATTACATGCACACGAGTACATGAATGAAGGCCTAATATTGATATACGTAGCTTGCATACCTAAATAAAAAATAAACTCTTCTAATCCCCTAATGTAAACACGGCGGTATACGTAGCCCGATTTATCGGAGACTTTAAAATGAAATATGACACACCATGTAACATTCAGTACTTTTTGCTGTAGAGGGGTATAAATGGGCAAAGAAAGACCACGAGAGCTCATTTTACACTCCCTCAATAAGTTTGGCAACCTTAGCTCCCCCATTGAACTACTTGTTAAAGAATCTTTACGCTTGAATTTTTATTTGCTTAACCTGAGGTGAAATAACTTATAATATTTATGGAAACGTATCTTGTCTTTATTTCCAATACCTCCAAATTTTCCCAATTTTTCCTCGAGTACAATAGGTCGAAATTGATGAGAGATTTGATGAATTTTTGAAAATCGTCATTCCCATGTAAACCAATAGGAAATGGTGGGTTCGGGGCAAATCAGATTTCAGGATATCTATTTTGTAAACGATTCAGCAAAAAATATTTTTTATCTAGAAAATTGAATTGTCTAACTTTTTGTGCACTATGTGTTTAGTTTACTTGATGAATACTAAAGTTACAGAGCTTTGAAGTCATTATCATTTTTCGCCTCCTGTGTTATTTCAATGGGAGAGGTTTTTAGAAAAACAAGTGTGACTTTAAAGACCTAGGACTTTGTTGAAACTTTAGAAACGTATAAATTTTTTGTTAAAGAAAGTTAGCAAATACAATTGCCTACCTAACTTGTATTTTTGCAAGGATTCGGATGGATGGATATTCTGTTATATGACTTGCGGAAAACCTACAATTTCCCATTGGTTAACATGAGAATGTCGATTTTCAAAAATTCATCAAATTTATCATCAATTTTTGACCTATTGAGGAAAGAATTTGACAAAATGTTGAGGTATTGGAAATAAGGTCAAGTTACGTTTCCTTTAAAATTATAAATATTTTCATCGCTTGTGTTAAGTAAATAAAACTTCATACTAAAGAGGCTTTAACACGTAGCCCAATGGGGGAGCTTAGGTTGGAGATTGTCAGTATGCTAAATGGTCTTTATAACAGGTTCATGGGATAACAGAATAAAATCTGAAAATTGATTAGTATTGATCTTTGGTAGATATATTAAAATATTCTGAATATATGAAGAGATGCATAGAGGTTATTTAATGGTAGGGATGGAATATGAATTTTATTTCGAGGGAAATATGATATTGGCCAAGCAAAATACCATATTGACCAAGGGCGACAACCCGGGTGTCAATATGGTATTTTCAGAGGCCAATATCATATTTTCTCGAGGAAAAAATTAGTATTTCATCACGACCATCAATAACCTATTTATTCCATAATATTTTTCTGAAACTTGTGTTGTATGTCGTCACCCAATGATGTTGACATTAATAGATACAATTTAATCCATCGAACGACATTCTCAACTTTTATTAACAATTTTTAAAATTAGAATGATTCATAATACGAATATGAATCATAATATGCCATTATAACACAATATAAAGTCTCATGAAATTTTCTGATTATAGTTCTGATACGGGATTTTGGCAAATAAGTTAAGGCAGTCTTATATTTTTACCATTCTCCCACGAGGAATGTGTCTCATTTCATCAAAATGATATCCTTTTCTCCAAAGGTCCATGTGCAGTATGGCAAGTGATTTCAGACGGTCATATCTTTCACCATGAGTACTTTCTGGCCATAAATACAGTTTTTTTTATAAAAGCAATATGTTTTCTTTCAAGTGAAGTTCCCGTGATAGTAAAATATCAATCCAACTCTCTGAAAAATTATAGTTTAGGACCCCATCTGGGCACTTTTAAGAAATGTCAAGCTTATTTTCTAAAACGAGGATCTTGTTTTTTCTCGATTTAACCATATCGAAAGTTTCTTCTACACTATATTTACAACTTCTGAAAAGGGGATTGGTATTTAAATGCGTTAAAGTTAAAAACCACATACCCCATGTAATTTTCCCATAGGTAAAACTCGTGCTATCCATTGTTTTCATCATAACTTTGGTCATCGAAAATTGATATCTTCAAAACTAGACTTTCAATACAATTCTACTTTTGAAGAAGTTTTAGACCCCTTTTCAATAATCTTTTCATGCAATAAAAATCAGAAAAAGGAGATCCTCTTTATAGTAAATAGGTTCAACATTTTGAAAAATTGTTGACATGGGGTCCCTATTCATAATTTTTTCAAAATGTTCGATTGATAATCATCATGGGTACTTCACTTGAAACAAAACATATCGTTTTAATAAAAAACACTGTATTTATGCCCAAAAAGTGCTCATGGTGAAAGATATAACTGTCTAAAACCACTTGCCATACTTCACATGGACCTTTTCACAAATGCAAATGTTGAATGAAGGACATACTATTTCAATAATAAAATATCATATATAATGTGCAACTTAAATGTTTTAGCATATTAAAAATAGTTTGCAACCTCATCATGACATCGTGACATTACTAAGGTGGCAAACAACTTTTTAAATATGCTTAAAAATAAATCAATGTTGATTGTTAACCAGGTTAAAAGGGAAAATGAGTTTTAAATATTATTGTTTCATTGGTTTCTATGAGAGCTAAAATTCTGAAATGCATATACGAGGGTTGATCATAAAGTTATCGTATTATCTCTCTCATTTCTTTTTTCAATATAATAATATTATTCTAATGAAATTTTCAAAGAATGTGCAGCATAGAATGTCTTATTAATCTAGCATAAAATGTTTAGTATTACAGAAATATTTCACAAGAAATAGTTTCCATGGTAACCATAAATCAAGGCACGCGAGGCAAATGAAAAGAATTGAGAGGACGATCATAATTAACCATGTTTAGATATGTTGGATTTACACTAGAGCCCCTAAGACATCTTGGGTAAAACGTTTTAGCGACCAAAACGCAAATATTTAAAAAAATTAAATTAATACTGATTGAAAGTTACATTTAGTTTGTAAAATCCTTTAGTCAGATTAAAGATGATCTCAAATAAATATATTGCAAAGATATTAACAAAATTACACACTTTGTGAGGTCGGAACATATTACAAATGAACTTAGTGGGCAAATTCAAATTTCCTCAGAATATTTAACAAAACAGTTGTAGGGTCTTACATCACTTCTAATGAAGCATTATTATCATCCATTATGAGATCACACCAATTCACGGGACCATTATAATAGTTCAAAACAGTCAAGAGCACATGGTATTTTACAATTTAATGCGTTTCATAACTTATTTGATAACTAATTGTGTATCTAAACATGGCTAATGGGGGCTATTCTATCACATCTTTTTATTTGTCCCCCCCCCCCCGGTGCCTACAATATAAGCCAAAGTGGTCTACGCCTTTTTTAATAGATCTCCTATCTTAGAATCGTATCATTTTAAAAAACATACTTAACCATACCATAATCGAATAGATTTCTCTTGAAAAAATAAAACTTTCAGATTTGTTGGATTTTCTAGCAGAAATTCACCGCCCCCACCCTCTTCTGTCCCATATTCCCGACCACAGGGTGTGAGTTTAATAAAGTAGTCCATTTCAATTTTGGTTACAACACAGTGTACAATATTACCTGAAGGAATGGCCAAAGCGTGTATCACCAACATCATTAAAACAGGATTTAAAAGCGCCATCTTTCGATCACTCTTTCAGCTATGGATCATCACAAATCTGAAAAAACAATTACAGGCAGAGTACAGTATGTGGCTTTACAATCGCCTTCGTAAATTTAAGAACATGTGGTCCTCATTTGATAATTTTTGATTACTCATTGATGCAGGCTGACGATTGCTAAAGATCTCTGAACTTCTAATACTGTTTCTACTTGGATGTTTTCGCTGAAAAAACCAAAATGGGTGTCAAAATAATATGTAAGTATTGATATAAGCTCAAAGAACGGTTAAACGGTGACTTTGGAGACCATGAATAGGTTTTAGAGGCTAAGGATTTTATTTTAGTCAAAATCGAAGTCATCAAAGAATTACATTACATAGAAATCGAAGATGGCCACCAAAATGGGGGCCAAAACGAATATGTAACTATTGATCTAAACTCAAAGAATAGTTGAAAAGTGCCATGGTAGGGTTTTATAGGTTAATTTTTCCATTAATGAATAAATCTAAGTTATTAAATAATTCCGTTACAGTATATAACATCTTAAGATGACTGTCAAAATGGTTGGCGATATGGCTGCTTAAGTGAATTCATATGCACATAGAACAGTTAGAATAGTATTTTAGGTATCTGAGAGTAGGTTTCAGGAGGAAATGGTTTCTATTTAGTCTTACCTAAGCTATTTTAGCCTTTCTCATATTAAAATCCAAAATGGCTGCCAAAATGAATATATATTGTACCTATATCTATATATATCTATAAGCATTAATGGAAGATGTTGGCCAGTGATTATGGTATCTTTGAGCAAATTACTAGACCAGGAATAAGGGATTGAGGATTTCAGTTATCATTATTATTAAGTTTTTTCTCTTTATTTAAATTGTAAAATTGTTATCTTTATGAAAATCAAAGATGGCTGCCAAAATCAATGCCAAATTGGCTGTTGGTCATGTTTTTCATGTTTTCTCTCCATTTCTTGTTTTTCGTTGCCTTATTTTTGTTTGTTTTACCCCCTTTTTCTTTCGTTCTTTTCTTTATGCCTCTTATGCATTTGCTTTTTTACATTCTTCTTTTTCATTAGGTTTTTCTTTTACTGTGGTTTCTTTTTGTTTCATGTTTTTCTTTTGTTTCATTCGTATATCATCTGTATTTCCCCCTCCTAAGGTTTCTGGGCGTAAAGGAAGTGTTGCCACAGTTGATCTGACCTATTTCTACTTGAAAACTACTTGGATTGAGATTGTCCTTCCTTTAGGAACAAGATAAAAACTGGTTGTAAGGAATCTCTTTGCATGTTGACAACCAATTTGAAATGACCCGCAGCACTTTATTATCTCACCAGCAAAACTGGCCGCTGCCAAGTGCTGATACCAGGGTATTAAGATACGCTTAAAGGAGCAATTGCATTACAAAGCATACATCAGATTCCTCTTAAAGGAGTTGGTACTGGGTCAGTTTACAGTTAGAGCTCTCTACACCAACGTTTACCTTGGTTCATTCCCAGATTGCCAAGTTACGAGATATAGTAATTTCTTGGTCAGGCTTTCCTTTCCCCCCGAGGTGTTTGTTTTGAGATGATTAGAACCAAAGTTGCCTACTCCCAAATCCTTGACCCCAAACCATGTCATGGTCTACAAAATTGTGTTTTATCTGTTCTTTGAGCTTATATACCAATAGTTACATATTCATTTTGGCACCCATTTTGGCGGCCATCTTGAATTTCCATATAAAGCAATTCTTTGATGATTTTATCTTAGACATAAATTAAATGTTTAGACTTTACAACCCTTTTATCGACTCCAAACTTATTTTGAACTGTTCTTTGAGCTTGTATTAACAGTTACATATTAGTTTTGGAACCAATATTTTCAGTTTATTTATATTTCCTTATTAATTTTGATATAAATACATAAGTATGCATAATTTAACTAAATAACATTAGCGGCATAGTAAAAATTAAAAATAAAACACAGGAATTTACACAATACAAAAACCACGTAGTATGTTCAGTCTGTATGTATGCTTGCTCCCCCTCCCACCCATAAGGTTCCAAAAGGATTAGAATGTTTCACTGGATGTTCAATACTGAGATTGCTGTTGAGACATAGTGAGCCACGATTTCGATAATTTTGCCATTTATTACATCACTAAGGTTGGTATCCCCAGACAAAAGTATATCTGATTTCTTAGAGATTGTTAGATTTCTGAAATCGGGCAGACATTCCAGTTCTTCGAGTCCTGCAAGAAGCAATTCCCTTTCATTTATGAGCAGTGGACATTTGATTAAAAAATGAGAAGTAGTTTGTTGAGCTGCACCACATGGACATTTGGGATCATTTATTGTGGTAAAAGTGTGGGCATGTAAATGACTGTTGAGCAAGAGACCAGCTCTAAGTCTGTTGAAAGTAATTTCTGTTTGTCTTGGCATAGTGTATTCCATTTTGGATGTGGGTAAGGATGCATGGCTCCTTTCCATCCTGACTGATCTTTTGAATCTTGAGATTGGCTGCCCAACCCGGATAGTTGGTGGAAGCCCATTCCAAGCTGAGATGGCGCTAAAAATTGTAGATGTTTTAGTTGAGACACTAGTATGTAGTGGAATCTGAAAAGCTGGCTGATCTCTCAGCCTTCTAGTGTGAACAGTTTCATAAGTTCTCACAACTTCACATATGAAGGGAGGTAAAGCATTAAAACGTGCTTTAAAAATAAAAAAAATTAAGTGCTCATCTCTTCTCGATGCCAGCTTTTTCCAATTTAAAGAAGAAAGTACCTTATGAGTATTTGACCCATGATTAGCACCTGAAACTAGGCAGGCTGGTCTGGTTATTTATGATGTTCAAAGTACATCCTTACATTGAAAGGTTAAACTTGGCTCATGAGTATGTTTCAATTTGGGACATAGTATGTGATGTGCTATAAGTTCATCAGTATATTAAAAGGTTCAATTTGGCGCATTATCATAGTTCAATTTGGCGCGTTATTTATGATGTTCAAAGTACATGCTTACATTGAAAGGTTAAACTTGGCTCATGAGTATGTTTCAATGGGACATAGTATGTGATGTGATTCAAGTACATCAGTATATTAAAAAGTTCAATTTGGCACATTATCATAGTTCAATTTGGCGCGTTATTTATGATGTTCAAAGTACATCCTTACATTGAAAGGTTAAACTTGGCTCATGAGTATGTTTCAATGGGACATAGTATGTGATGTGCTCCAAGTTCATCGGTATAATAAAAAGTTCAATTTGGCGCATTATCATAGTTCAATTTGGCGCGTTATTTATGATGTTCAAAGTACATCCTTACATTGAAAGGTTAAACTTGGCTTATGAGTATGTTTCAATGGGACATAGTATGTGATGTGCTCCAAGTTCATCAGTATATTAAAAAGCTCAATTTGGCGAATTATCATAGTTCAATTTGGCGCGTTATTTATGATGTTCAAAGTACATCCTTACATTGAAAGGTTACACTTGGCTCATGAGTATGTTTCAATGGGACATAGTATGTGATGTGCTCCAAGTTCATCAGTATATTAAAAAGTACTATAAGTTCAATTTGGCGCATAATCATAGTTCAATTTGGCGCGTTATTTATGATGTTCAAAGTACATCCTTACATTGAAAGGTTACACTTGGCTCATGAGTATGTTTCAATGGGACATAGTGTGATGTGCTCCAAGTTCATCAGTATATTAAAAAGTTCAATTTGGCGCATTATCATGGTTCAATTTGGCGCGTTATTTATGATGTTCAAAGTACATCCTTACATTGAAAGGTTAAACTTGGCTCATGAGTATGTTTCAATTTGGGACATAGTATGTGATGTGCTATAAGTTCATCAGTATATTAAAAAGTTCAATTTGGCGCATTGTCATAGTTCAATTTGGCGCGTTATTTATGATGTTCAAAGTACATCCCTACATTGAAAGGTTAAACTTGGCTCATGAGTATGTTCCAGTGGGACATAGTATGTGATGTGATTCAAGTACATCAGTATATTAAAAAGTTCAATTTGGCGCATTAGTATCATTCAATTTGGCGCATTATTTATGATGTTCAAAGTACATCCTTACATTGAAAGGTTAAACTTGGCTCATGAGTATGTTTCAATTTGGGACATAGTATGTGATGTGCTCAAACTTCATCAATATATTAAAAAGCTCAATTTGGCGCATTAGTGTAGTTCAATTTGGCGCATTATTTATGATGTTCAAAGTAAATCCTTTCATTGAAAGATTGAACTTGGCTCATGCGAGTATGTTTCAATTTTGGACATAGTATGTGATGTGCTCAAACTTCATCAATATATTAAAAAGCTCAATTTGGCGCATTAGTGTAGTTCAATTCGGCGCATTATTTATGATGTTCAAAGTATATCCTTACATTGAAAGGTTGAACTTGGCTCATGAGAGGCTCAATTTGGCGCATTAGTGTAGTTCAATTTGGCGCATTATTTATGATGTTCAAAGTACATCCTTACATTGAAAGGTTAAACTTGGCTAATGAGTATGTTTCAATTTGGGACATAGAATGTGATGTGCTCAAACTTCATCAATATATTAAAAAGCTAAATTTGGCGCATTAGTGTAGTTCAATTTGGCGCATTATTTATGATGTTCAAAGTAAATCCTTACATTGAAAGGTTGAACTTGGCTCATGAGAGTATGTTTCAATTTTGCACATAGTATGTGATGTGCTCCAAGTACATCAGTATTTTTAAAAATGTTCAATTTGGCGCGTCAGTATTTATCAATTTGGCACGTTTTTTCTGATGTTCAAAGTTCATCCTTACATTGAAAGGTTAAACTTGGCTCATGAGTATGTTTCAATTTGGGACTTGTGATGTGCTCTCAGTTCAATAGTATATTAAAAAGTTCAATTTGGCGTGTTAGCATAGTTCAATTTGGGGCATTATGAACATCATAAATAACGCGCCAAATTATACTATACTAATGCGCCAAACTGAACCTTTTAATATACTGAAGAACCTACAGCACATCAAATACTATATTTCAAATTGAAACATACTCATGAGTCAAGTTTAACCTTTTTA